TGACAATCTCTCCCAGCCGGTCGGTATTCGATCTAGCGCTTGAAAAGAATTGGGTTCTGTCGCTCAGTCTGTTCATCTACGCCATCTACTGGGTTCTTCGGAGGGTCTTGCACAGTTTGATGGGGCCGAAATTACGCTCCGGACCAGCTGGCTGATATAAACTACGCTGGAGATATCGCCCTACTCACCTCTGACTCTGGTGGCCTACAGACGAGTCACGGATGAGTGAATTCGCCTAAATGGAGTTGCATTGCTGACTAGAAGGCCCCCTCGCTATTGATGAACGTTAACGTGAAATGGACAGTTCTAAACACCTTGGGGGGCGAGGCTACCGTTGAATGGACAGGGTAAGAAGGATTTCGTCTTCCGAGTGGGTGCTACTCACAGGGTTTCCATAATCCTTACTAAATGTTTATGAACCCGATAGGACATTTCCATCGTAAAACATATCCGCGTGTACCGGACATCAGTTTATTCAGTCCTGTAAGGTGTTCAATACTGGGCTGTACAGGTGCAACATGGACAAAATCGAGGTAATTGACTACCGCTGCCGGAGAATCATCCTTTGGCTGAAGTACACCAACTTGGTTCTGAATGAGAAAGTCGACACTGGCTGTGACATCACGAGGATATCTTAGCCCCCCCCCCAAGCAGACGGAGCAGATGGTTATGCCACCTTTTTCGTCATTCGTCCCATGAGCTCAGTTTTATTTCCCCTAATTCGGCTCTGCTACTCACCTGGAGACGACAAGTCAAAACCTGGCGAGACACAATTAACCACGATATGGAAGCGACGTGTATACCTTCGGTGTTCGGTTTCCATCGTTGCCTAGAACCGCTGCAGCGGATAATCATATGGCATCTTCGAGGCTGACATGACCACCGTCACACCAAGTTATAGTAAGTAAATATTATTGAACCAATGTTTATCGGGACCTCACAACTTGGTTTTTCTCACTTAAAATGCATAAAAAATTAGAAGTTGAGTGCTACCAATACAAACACAGCTAAGCAAACGCGAAACGAAGATGGAGAAGATAAGAGGAAAAAAGCAAGACCACAAAATTCAGAAGTGGAACATTTTGAGTGAATAATGTAATGAACGTGAAAGTCATAAAAACAGACTGAATAGTGAGAAATGAAATGGCAAGGAATGGAGAGAGTCAAAGAAAGGGCATCCACGAGCTGTCATCCGCTGGACGAAGATCACCGTGAATGAGGAGGAAGATGTCTACCAGCCACCAAACCCCACACCCACCAACAGTCAACAATTTACCCACGCCGGTGCCAAGGTGTCCTAGGCAAAACCGATCAACACCCAGAAACCCCAAAAATATGCTGTAAAGCAGGGTCGTGAGGAAGTAGTGTCCGTGATAACGAAGACAAGGGTAGTCGTGTAGTATGAATGTCCGGTTTCCATAGCACTCGATATCGGGCAGGGCGTGGCAAGTGATTGAAGTGAGTTGAACCTCTTCAGCCTTCATCCCACCCCACTGATAGCAGCCTTGGTTGGTCTCGAGGAAGAGGCTTTTGTTACCGTGCAGATCTAAGTATAGAAAAAAAGGGAGGTAGCGTACCTTCTGGCGGTTCGCACCAAATTGAGTGCCTTGGAAGATAGGAACACATGACGAGAGGTGAATTGGGATCGTAGACGAACCCAGTAGATTCATTGTAGAATGCAGTGGTATTGCTGAAGGGTGGCTCCTTATGAAGGATAGGGACATCAAACATGTAGGCCGAAGTGCATACGAAGAAGATGCACATACGCCATAGTGCAGTCAAGCACATGCCTGAAAAAAGTAGAATTAATAGTGTAAATAGAAGGAGAAAGAACGTCAAAAAAAAAACAATTTGCAGACATAAAAGGATCCTAACAGACAACTCCTAATGCACACTATGCAAGTAGAGACTGGGAAATTGATTTGGAAATATGATTTTTATCGAAACAAAATACGAAGACTCAAACTATAGTGCTGGCTGAATTAAGAGAATAGGAAAGAAAAGAGGCGGAATAATCCAAACGAAAGTGAAGAGTGTCGATTGTCTTTTCCGACGAGATCTAACGTGTGCCCCACAGCCAGGTGAGAGCAGGGGCGGTGACTTGTACGTGAATTAGTTTATAGTGATAACACACTTATACAGTCCTTTCTGCATTCTCTCAACACCATCTCGGCCCGGTGTCAAGACCGAGGCAAAGAGACCAGAAGCAGAGTCCAACGGAGGTGGCCAGCGTGACGTGAATCCGCACTTAGGTGTACAACCATACCCTGGTCCATGCAAAAAAAATCCAGGGTTTTACGAAAAAGAAGAGGGAAATGCTATAATGACCACAATAGGGCAAAGTTGTGCTCTGGCCCTCCGTCCTGAGCGAAAGACTGAATTATTCTGTTAGTTGACAGCCTTCCAAGTCAGAACTTTTAGCACACTGTGATAGATTCAAGCAAGTCGGTATTTATAGGGAGGAATGTGCGCTCAGCCGGTCGAGCTCATTCTCTTCCCACTTCCAAACAACAGTCTGTTGAGCGAGTCAGACAGCTGTCTGATATGGGGATAGAACACAGTAGCTGACAACTAGAACACTCGTCTGCGCGTGCTACATAAAAAAACTGACATCGCCCACATACACAACGCCTCAGGATTTTATACAAACGGGAGGAGCGGCTCGTATCTCACATACATGACACTGTCGCAAAGGCCACACCAAGATGCTGAGATTTTGAAAAGTGGCTGATAAAGCTAAAAACAACAGGTTTGCGCGTATCACACATAACCCAGGCTCTCCAACACAACAAATGAGGATTTTACACAACACGAAAGGGAAGCTTGAATCTGAACTGAGGGGAGTGCTTCCTAAG